AGTGCCCCTCCGCCATGTTTTTCTTGGGTCACCCGATATTGGTTCTGTGGGCATGGGTTGCTTGAGAAGGCATCTCAGAAGACCTGCTAGGTATGTTCCGAAACAGCACATGGGACAACCCCCCCTGGGGTTGAACCACTTCGCAACGCAAGCAGTTGAATAGTTGCCCCTTGCTGGGAAGATAGCTTTGTTCCTGTGGAAACCCAGCACCTACACAGGTGGGTTTTGGGTGGTGGAGAAGGCTGGCAACACTCATCTCCTCTACCTGCATTCTCAGGTGGTACAGTCTGAATACAGAGCTCGGTTGTGACAAATGGATCGGTCCATTTCAGCACCTTCCAGAAGCTGGGGGAAACGGTCCCAGCTCAGTGCTTGCCTGATAGAAGTCCCCAAATGCAGACCTTCCTTGGCCGCTGCCAGCCACAGTAGACCACGCTGAGCTAGATGAACCGATGGTGTGGCTTGGTCAAAAACAATCTCATATGCTCGTATGTAGTGAGGAGTGAGGAGTTGGCCACATTTAGAGAGTCATAAGAACATAAGGGAACACAAGAGGCCCATCCAGTCCAACAATCTGTGTCACACACTCTCCAAAAATACCAGGTGCCATCAGGAGGTCCACCAGTGGGCCCTCATTGGTGTGGTGGGAAATAAGATGCCCTTGCTATAAGAGCCAGTCTCAGGACATACCATAAAATACTACCCCAAACATTCGCCTGGCTGGGAGACTGTAATGTACCTGGAGGTTCCTCCACCCAGAACCTCTCTTTAGTAGGGTTTGTCATGTTGGATGATGGTCAACCATCATTTGGTATTTGTCGTCTTGGCCTAGGTGAAGGGTGTTGATCCCATTTTGTTTGATCAACCTTTCCACCTGTCATGGAACAGCTAAGACTTAGGGCCATGTTCCGTAGAAAAGTTAAGGTCACCATGCTTCTGGTGGGGACTGGCGTCCTCCCAGGATAACAACTGATTTCCAGACTACGGAGACCAGTTCCCCAGGAGAAAATGGCGCCTTTGGAGGGTGGATTCTGCAGCATTGTATTCCTGCTAAGGTTCTTCCCACAAATATCCAGGCATTTCCCAACCTGGAGGTGTCCGCAGTCAGACCCCCTCCTCTCGCTGAGGGGCAGTTTATAGCTAGAATAACCATAAACACCCTTCTTAAAAGATTGTCTCAGAAATCATAGCACAAGACACTGCCTGGTCCAAATTGACACAAAATGGATGCCAGTCAGAAACAAACCGGGACATGTAGTATACATATACATATACATACACATACATACAGGGGTCATTTCCTGCGGGAGCGCACAGGAGCGGAGCTCCGGCAGTAAAGAGCCCAGGGGGCGGGCACCTGCAACAAGCCCCACCCCCTGCTCCCAGCAGCCCTCAGTTAGAGCAAGAAGCAGCCAGGTAAGCTGGAGAGCCCCACCCCCCGGTCCAAAACAGTCCAGTGGCACCTTTAAGACCAAGTTTTATTCAGGTACAAGCTCTCCTTCCTCTGCCAGGACAGATCTGCACGCCCCCCCCCCCAATAGCTAGCAATCCAAAACAGTCCAGTGGTGGCTTCTGACACACTTCTGGTGATGTCAGGGGGTGTGGCATATGCAAATAAGTTATGCTAATGAGTTGTGCTAATGAGCTCCTGCACCTCTTTTTCTACGTAATGAGCCCTGAGTGTGAGTATGCAGCAAGATCTCATAATGACATTACTTATAGCTGTTAAATGGGTATTAGCTATGAACCAAAGAGGGACTAAACACATGGAATTCCCGGCCAGAGGAGGTGGTGACGGCTTCAAGAGGGAATTGGATAAACATATGGAGCAGAGGTCCATCAGTGGCTATTAGCCACAAAGTATAGATGGGAACTCTCAGGCTGGGGCAAGGGATGCTCTGTATTCTTGGTGCTTGGGGGGGGCAACAGTGGGAGGGCTTCTAGTGTCCTCCTGGCCCCACTGCTGGACCTCCTGATGGCACCTGGTATTTTTGGCCACTGTGTGACACAGAGTGTTGGACTGGATGGGCCATTGGCCTGATCCAACATTGGCTTCTCTTATGTTCTTGTTTTCTTATGAATTGGATCAACATATGGAGCAGAGGTCCATGAGTGGCTATTAGCCACTAAGTATAGATGGGAACTCTCAGGCTGGGGCAAGTGATGCTTGGGGGGGGCAGTGGGAGGGCTTCTAGTGTCCTGGCCCCACTGCTGGACCTCCTGATGGCACTTGGTATTTTTGACCACTGTGTGATAGAGTGTTGGACTGGATGGGTCATTGGCCTGATCCAACATTGGCTTCTTAACTGGAAGAAACCTATCTCACTTATGATGTATGATTGGTATCTTAAGGTTTGGGAAATACTTCGGATGGACATATTAGCGGATTCCATATCTCGTTCCGATCCATATTTAGGCTTTTCCAATATGCTGGACAAGTGGATGCCATTTTTAGAATATGCTATGGAAAATACTACCTCCCAAAACAGTCCTACTAATTATCTATATTATGAGGTCATGATGTCTCTAACTCTACATCTACAGATCTGCGTCTCCTTAAGTTTGTACACCTGTTGTTAAAGGGTATTCCCTCCTAATATTGACCATTCTATGTTAATCCTGTGAAAAACATAGACATAGAAATTGTTACTTCTTATATACTTTCACTGCTGAATTGTATTTTATTGGCTTTGTAATGTGTAATGCTTATCAGTTTAAAACAATAAAATGTTAATTAAAAAAGTGTGCGTAAGAGCGGCTGTGTACTTTCCCCTCCACACCCTGGAGAGATGCATAATTTAGGACAATGGGTCTCTCAAAAACCTATTGCTTTACCCTTGGAAAAATCCTGTCAACACCCAGTCTCACTTCCCTGTGCACCCATTTACCTTAATTAAGCAACACTTAATTCGATTCACCTAAACCATTAGCTCTTCCTTCCAGGTACTTGTAGGGTCACCAAACCTCTCATACATCATTGTCTATCACAGAAAAGCCCATTAAGTTATTGTTTTTCTGACAAACACGTCATACTCTGAGCCCGATTGTGGGGTAGAGTGCGATATAAATCTCTAAATAAATAAATAAATAAATACCCCTAGAGGGCACATTTTGCCCTGTGTCAGAAGCACTGTGCTTCCCAGCAGTGTGTGTGTGGTGTGTGTGTCTTGGATCCTCCACATACACCCTCACTTTGTTGGGTTCTCTTCTCTCCCGAAACACTGGCCGTTTTGCTGCTTCCGCAGACCTCTCCAAGAATGGTAATTATCACCCCCAAACAGCCCCGTTGCCAGAGCGACGCGTAGCGCCACATCCTGGCGACGCCAGTGCAGTGCATATCGCTGTCCCCCCGCGGCAGGGATCCCGTGACGACGCACGGATCCCCCGCCATGGCTTGGCAGCCCTACTCCCGCCTGTGTTTCTCTTAGTTTGCCCTTGTGTGTGTGTGTTTATTATGTGTATTTCTTTTGTTCTTTTTCCTTAATAGAAACCTCGCAGCCATCAATCTGCCTGGTTTATTTGACAGTTCTCTTAAGTGAAAAATCCCTGTATACATAGGTGGAGAATCCCAGTTACCCCCTCTTACTCTGTCCCCTTAAAGCTAATTCCCCTAACTAATTAGAAGATTGCCTCTTTTAGTAACGGGGGGGGGAGAGTGTGACTGGTTTGCATACTCTTTTTGCAGGAGGTGAAGCAGGTCAGGTCCTACCAGCACCGCCACTTGTTCCTGCCCAGTTGCCCTTCTCCCTGATGCCTCCCTGACACCACCTCCATGGCATCTGACTGTGTTGATCCCATGATCTTCAACATGGCTTTTTTGGTGGTCAAACATAATCCCCTGTTCCCTCTTTTGCCCATGGAAGAGCTTACAGAAGCCCACCCAGGAGCGGCTTACATTGGGGTACGTAGAGGAGAACTTGGCTTTTAGTTCTGAGAGACTCTTCCCCACCTTTGTGTGGCATTTCCAAATATCTCCCCCCAATAACGAGAGGAACTACAATTATTTTTTTGCTTGCAGAATGTCACATACATTGATTGGAAGTTAGAGACACTCTAACCCTGGCCACACTGTACAAAGAGCCGCAATGAAACCAGAACAAAAAAATGAAACAAAACTGCAAACCAAGCCCAACTGTCGGGTTCTTGTTTTTTTTGTTTTTTTCTAAAATCCATGATTAAAACCTGGTACAAACAGGTGAATATATAGATATATTTCTTTTAGTAGACGTAATATTTTCCTCTCTTTTCTCTCTCTCTCTCGGTATACAGCAAACATTTGCAAATATAGATTTTTTTTTGTTCTCTCTGTACAACAGGACAACAGTTTTACAATGCAAACATTGTGGTTGAACCTCGCATCAAATGAAATGCACAAATGGGACTTCAGGCGGTTCATAGTCTAAACTGGAAGACTCCATTTGCAAAAGGCCCAAAATATTACTGTTTTGTCTGTCTGTTTTTCTTTAATCCTTCTGCTATCTCTCCCCCCCTTCAGATTTACTATTTTGTCATTTTACTTTTTTTTTTGGTTACGGAAGAAGAAGACAAAACTGTACACAATAGTCCACAAAAATCACAGAATTAAGGAGTCATGCGATGCAGTTGTTGATTTACTCCATACTCCTTGGGCTATTTTCCCCCTGCCTGGCTCTCTTTCTTTCTCTCTTTTTTTAAATTTAATTTTCTGTATTTTTTTTAAAAAAGAAAACAAAGCTTTTTACACTCTGTAGGTTATTTGTCAGTGTCTTCCCCTCCCCCCCCTTATCAAATTTGGTATTCATCTCACAAGAGTGAGATGATAGATATACTTTGAATACCTCTTTCTCTCTCTCATTCTCATTCTTTCTTATACATTATATAGAATATTATAGATTCTCATAAGTTATTTATTTATTTGTTTGCTCTTTTTTTTTAAAGACAAGTCTGGGATAAAAATAGCTGCTGCTGATTTTTTCTTTTTATCTTTTGGTCCAGTGTTAAGTCACGAGTTGGTCGAGGACTCAGGACTTGTGCTGGGCGGACACCCCTTTCCAGTAGTCTAAGATGTCGTGAAGATCCTCGTCTTTGGCAAACTGGACCTTTTTGCGCAGGGCATGACCAGCGGCCATGTACTCCTCCTCATCTTTGTGCCTCTTGCGGTTCAGTTTGAAGCGCTCCCAGATGCTGTGGGATGGCTTGCACGTGTACTCGGGGCTGGAGGTGTAGCTCAGGTTGTGGTACTGAGGCGAAAGTTGTGAGTAGGCCAAGTCTCTGGGGCGGGGCCGGGTCAGCGGCTCCAAGATGGAGGGCTTGCGCCCCGCCATGCTGTCGTGCTGCTCCCCTTGATGGGACCCTGGGTACGAGTGCCGGTGCTCGCTATATTGTCGGATCTTCTCAGCCTCGGCCCGCAGGATAGCGGCAGCCGGCGTCACAGTGAGAATGGTGTCTGCGGTCGGAGATGTCTTCTCGATATATTTGGCTTCTGATTTGTGGCCGGAGCCCTCTGAGCGGAAGGATCGGGGGCTTCGTATGGAGCCGCTGGAAGAAGTGCTGGAACGCTTTGGGGGGGCCTCCATGCTGTGGTGCCTCTGTAAGGGGTGGTTGTAGCTTTCCTTGTAGACGGGGGCCAGGAAGCCATGCTTGCCAGGGATCTGTTCCGATAAAAGCACCAGTTGAGGCTCTGCTGTGGACACTGCTCCCGACTTCACCCCCTGGAAGGAGGTGGACTCTGATTTCAAGGCATCGATGCAGTTGTTGATGATTTGGTTCACCTTATCCACCTCCTTGGTGATGGTGGAGATCTCCGCCACGGAGCTCTGGCTGTCGGGTGCCATTGGTAATTCACATTCCCTCCGTTCGGGCTGCTCTCCCGTGCGTACTTCCATGTAGTTACCCTTGGTGGTCTTGGGGGTCTCGCTGCTGTCAATCAGTTTGTACTGCTCAACCTCTCCAACAGAAGGAAGGTAAGGGATGCGGGTCACGGTTTCACCACCCAGCATCTGGCCTTGTGATAGCTGAGAGATGCTTGTCGTCTCCATCTCTGGCCCGTATTTCAGCTCGATGATGGTCTTCTTCATGTTGACGGCGGCCTTCTTGTGCTTTTCCTCCTGATGACGCTTCTTCCGAAGGCAATAGTACACCACCCCTAAGACGATAACCATGCCGAACAGGCAGCCCAAGATCGTCATGATGTAGTGAGTGGCCGTGGAAGAGGTGGGTATCGGCTCCTCCCTGTTCTGTTTGTTGAGGTTAATGGTGAGGCAAGTGTAGTTGTACCTCGAGACTCGGTTGGAAGACATCACGCAGTAAGTGTAGTCTTCGTTCGCCACCAGGTTCGTCAGCTCGATGTCTTCTTTCTTCTTCAGCAGCTTGGCGAGGACGTTGTACCGGCCGTTCTCAAACTGCGCCAAGGTGTACATTTTGCTGTAGGGCACTGGGATCTGTACGCTCAGGGTAGCTGAGTTGTGGGTCACGTGCTTCACTTTCATGGTGGGGTACAAGCCCGGATCAATCACGGGTGTGTGCAGCGAGGCCTGCGGCGTGGTGCCGTCACCCGAGAAGCACTCTTCCTCGGGACACGGGCTCTCTGGCGGAGCTGTCGTCACAGGGTACTTGGGTGGGATGAAATGAGGCATGGTGTATGGGCCGCCCGTGCAGAGGGAAGAGAGCATGCCCAGGGCATTTCGGTAACCGCTTCGCCCTTGGCCTAGAAGGTAGTAGCCCGAGTAGTCCGGCGGGGAGTCACACTGCATGCGGTCGTAGGTGCGCGTCATGTTGGTGAAGCCCTCCAGCCACTGAAGGAAGCCCAAGAGCTCGCAAGAGCAGTAGAAGGGGTTGCTGTAGAGTTCACAGACCGAGAGTTTGCTCAGGCCCCTGAAGGTGTTGCTGTCTAGCCGCTGGATCCTGTTCACCGACAAGTCAATGTTCATGATGTTGGGGCACTCCCCGAAGGCATTGGGGGTAACTGTCTCAATGAGGTTAGCCTGGAGGTAAAGGTACTCGAGCTTCCCCAGGCCCCGGAGGATCCCCTCCGTCAGGTTCCTCAGGCGGTTGTAGCCGAGCTGCAGCACCTGCAGGTTATACTGTCCCGAGAAGGCACCGTCCTCGATGTAGGAGATCTCGTTCTTGGTCAGGTTGAGGTATGTGAGGTTACTGAAGCGGCTGAGGGAGGAGAACTGCACGGTCTTGATCTTGTTGTCGTTCAGCCGCAAGTCCAGGATCGTGCTGTTGATCTGCTGAGGGATGGACTCATATGGCGGCTGGTTCTGGCTGCAGATCGCCAGCCACACGAAACCCTTCTCCCCCTCAATCAGCCAGCAGTCGGCACGCACCTCGCCCACGTACAGGAGGGAGACGGCCGCCACGCATGCGCACAGTGCTGACGTCAGAGCCCATCGATGGCCTGCCATTTGGAAGGGCCGCGCAGAGACGGGGAGGTCCCCTTATCTGCTGGAAAGGGGGGGAGGAAGGGGGTGGTTTGTCTTACGGCACAGCCCCGCCTTGGGCTAATGTTTCCAGGGGTGTGTTGTCATTCTAGCCTCTCTCTTCATGGCTGCAAACCATGAAGAGTCATCTGAGGGGGCATGAGAATGTCTCGCTTCCGAGTCACCCTTTCTGGTGCAAACGCTTTAGCCCAGGTTCTTCCGGAAAGCCGGTTCTTCTGTCATCGTATCGTGTTTCTCTTGAAGTCACGCGGGAGAAAGATGGATCTTGGGAGGATACAAGAGCTGGCTCAGGAATGAACAGTGCTCTCCCACTCGATGCTGCCTGTTCTGGTCTGCTTTTGGCTTCCTGCTCCCACTTCAGTGCCGGGTTCCTTCTCCATATCTGGGGTCCTCCGCACGCTTCTTTTCGTCGGGTCACTCGGTTCTCCTGCCAACATAGAGACAGAGACAAAAAATGGGCATTTAATGACTTTGGTTGAAAAAGAGGGAAAAAACCCCTCCTCTTGTGTGCTTTGGGTTCATTTTGGATGTCTAAAATTATTTGTGGGGACGTGGAACGGTATGAAATAGCCCGCTCTCCTCAGATCTCAGAAGCTAAGCACAGTCCTTGGAAGGGAGACCACCAAGGAAGACTCTGCAGAGGAAGACACTGCTTCTCACTTGCCTTGAATGCCCCTTGTTGGGGGTGCCACAAAGGCTGTTGCAACTTCACAGCACATACACACACAAACACACACTTATTTTATTTATTTAATTAATTTATATCCTTCCTTCCCTGCCAAGGCAGGCTCAGGGCGGCTTACATAGTATTTGTTGCACAGATGAAACAGAAAATTGCATAAAATCACAATAAATATAATTAAACAATAGTGTTGATGCACTCAGGGTAAGGCAAAGGTTTCCCTTGCTCGAAAGCCAGTCGAATCCGACGCTAGGGGGTGGTGCTTATCGTTTCCAAGCCGAAGAGCCAGCATTTTCCAAAGACGTTTCTGTGGTCATGTCGCTGGCATGGAACCAAGGTGCATGGAACACTGTTACCTTACCACCAAAGCGGTACCTATTTATCTACTTGCAATTTCTTGCTTTTGAACTCCTAGGTTGGCAGGAGCTGGGGCCAGAGACGGGAGCTCACTCTGTCATGCAGCACTAGGGTCTCGAACTGCCAAACTACAGACCTTCTGATCTGCAGCTCAGTGTCTTAACCTCTCAAAGAGCAAATGGGGCAGAGGGGCTGCAGTGTGAGGGGTGTCAATGCCCTCTTCTGCAAGTGGAAACATCATTGGAGGAAATGCATATTTGGTGTAGTGTTTAAGAGCGCAGAATCTAATCTGGGAGAACTGGCTTGATTCTCCACTCGTCCACTTGCAGCTGCTGGATGACCTTGGGCAAGCCATAGTTCTGTCAGAGCTGTTCTCTCAAGGACAGTTCTGGAAAGAGCTCTCTCAGCCCCGCCTATCTCACAGGGTGTCTGTTGTGGGGAGGGGAAGGGAAAGGAGTTTGTAAGCTGCTCTGAGACTCTGAGTGAAGGGTGGGGTACAAATCCAATCTCCTCCTCCTCCTCCTCCTCCTCCTCTTCTTCTTCTCCTTCTCCCCAGAAGTGGGATTCCCTGCTCCTGAGAGTCATTTCAATTTGCCTGTCTCTGTGCTCCCCCTTCGTTGCCCTCTCTGAGACCCTCTTTCCCCGGTCAGCTTATCGATATCCACTCACTGCAAAAAAGAGAGAAAGCCCGTGACCGAGCAGCAGCGATTCATTACAAATGATAAATGTTTAATCATGCAAAAGAAATGAAGGGGGGGGGGAGAAAATATCGTCTCGCAGGCGCCCAACGTTAAAATGAGCCGAGGCTATTAATGATGTGCAAAATAATCAGAGCAGACGTCTCTAGAATGGCGTGGAAAACATTTTATTAATGACCAGGCCTTGGCTAAATGGGCTGGATGTCCGTTTTGAGTATGTCAGGGGCTGAAAGTGCACTCCTGGTCTCTCTCTCTCTCTCTCTCTCTCTCTCTCTCTCTCTCTGCCCATATGCATATTCTCACCTTGGTTTCCAAACTCCGGCTTGGCAAAGCTGCTTCCCAAATTGCCGCAGAGTTGATTTTTTTTTAAAAAAGGGACTTTCGACGGGCAATCAGAGCTGATTTCCAATTCAAAGTTCAGCGCGTGCACGCGCACCGTGAAAGGGCCTTCTGTGTCGCGTCCCAGTCTGCGCACCGGAGTTCCCCCCTCCCTTGATGTTTAATGAGACATCCCCAGCCGATTTCTCTCACTCTTCTCCAGCTGTTCGTTATCAAAGAGAACTAGGCAGAGGCGAAAAAGAAAGGCCCCGTGCGGATGATTCTGGGTGAAGAATGCAGAGCGGAGGGACCGGAGGATGATCCAGATAGGCCGGCGTCCAGACATTTGGGTCAAGTGGGGGAACATCTCCTCCCTGTGTGCCAACTACAGTTGTCAGGGAGCCATCTGTTGGCCATCTCCCCACTCAGGGGTCGACCATCTGGCATCCATCAGAGACAAGGCCGTTTCCATCATGGCTCCGGCTCTGTGGAAGGGACTCCCAGAAGAGGATAGAGGGCACTCCTCCATGAAGGGCTTCAGGAGGCACTGTGAGGTCGGCCTGTTTGCCAGGGCTTTCGAGGGGGTTCAAAGACATCTTTTAAGGGAGCAAGTGAGGAGGGATTCGGTGTTTGCCATTTAATTTTTGGTGGGCAGCTTTGGTGAGTATTGTCTCTGTGTGTGTGTGGTTGCGAGCCTGGAAGTTATGGTGACTTCCGGCGACCCCTAGTGGGGCTAGGATGTTTCAGAGAGATGACTTATATTACTTGCCAGTTCGGTGTCGTGGTTAAGTGCGCGGACTCTAATCTGGGAGAACCGGGTTTGATCCCCCACTCCTCCACTTGCACCTGCTGGATGACCTTGGGCAAGCCATCTCTGGCACAGCATTTCTTGAAAAAGAGCCGTTTCTGTCAAGAGCTCTCTCATGCCCACCTGCCTCACAGGGTGTCTGTTGTGGGGAGGGGAAGGGAAAGGAGTTTGTAAGCCACTCTGAGACTCCTTTGAGTAGTGAAGGGCGGGGTATAAATCCAATCTCCTCCTCCTCCTCCTCCTTCTTCTTCTTCTTCTTCTTCTTCTTCTTGCCTTTGCATCCTAGCCCTGGTATTCCTTGGAGGTCTCCCTTCCAAATACTTGCCAGGGTCGGTCCTGCTTAGCTTACGAGATCTGATGAGATTGGGCTTGCCTGGGCTATCCAGGTCAGGGCTTTTATTTTTGGGTTTCTAAACTGAATGAAATGTTTTAGCTGTTATTGCAAGCCACCGAGATCTAGTTCCCTCTAAGATGAGTTAGTGTGAGCTAGCTCACAGTTTTTTTAGCCTCCGGCTCACACATTTTCGTCTTAGCTCAGGAAGGATGGCTCCAGAGCAGACTAATTGATGCAGTAGCCAAACCGCTGGCTCACAACTTGAATGCCAGTGGCTCACAAAGTAGAATTTTTGCTCACAAGACTCCACAGCTTAGAGGGAGCATTATGGAACTACAAGGAAAGGGGGGATATGGATGGATGGATGAATGGATAGATGATAGTACCAAAGGGGTAACACACAGCAATAGAGAAGAAGAAGAGGAGGAGGAGGAGGAGGAGGAGGAGGAGGAGGAGATTGGATTTATACCCTGCCCTTCACTACCTGAAGGAGACTCAGAGCGTCTCACAATCTCCTTTCCCTTCCTCTCCCCACAACAGACACCCTGTGAGGGAGGCAGGGCTGAGAGAGCTCTCTTGAGAACTGCCCTTGAGAGAACAGCTCTGAAAGAACTTGTGACTGACCCAAGGTCCCACCAGCAGCTGCATGTGGAGGTGGGGGGAATCAAACCCAGTTCTCCCAGATTAGAGTCTACTAAACCAAAATTACTCCTTTTTTTTATGAAGGCTTTTAGTCATGCCAAAAATTCTCTAACCACCACTCCCTTTGGCAAAAAAAAAAATAATGTTTATTTTGGCACCCTTCACCAAAAAAACATTGCCCTCTTTTATAGCCAAATCTTGGTTAGCTCTTTTGTTTCATCTTATCTCTCACCTCTTCTCCACAGTGCAATGAAATGGGATTTCAGACAGATTCTCAGCCAAGGTCCAACTAGACCAGCTTCAGCACGAGAGCTACGTCTGCATGCCTTTTACCCTGGACCAGAGCACTGTTTGCTGTTCGATCACCCACGTGAGTAATCAGGTGTCAGCAAGCTGCCAATATGTTTCCCTGTATTCTGTGTATGCTCTTATGTTTCACTATGCTATGCGTGTATCCGTTTGTATCCTTATTCGTTGGGTATGCGCTTGTTTGCATTCACTTTCCCATGTATGCCTGTTTATACGCTTAATTGCCTAGTTGCAGGAACATCCGTATCTCTCAAGGCCACAGGTGGTTGCTGGCGGGTAGTAGCTTGAGTGATCTTATGGCTTTATCCATGAGAAGCAGTATGTTATGATTAAGTAGGAGCATTGCTTCCCAGGCTCAATGGCGCGCGGGGGAAATCCTGCAATTGGGCCTCAGCTTTTTGAATTCACTATAATCTATTGGGATCCATGCTTATGCCTCATTCTGAACAGTGATCCTGTTATGCACCTATTGCTTCAAATAAAAGTAAAACCTTTCTACAAGTGTGTGCTTCGTTGATGCGATGGGAGTCTGACACCAGGAAGGAGAAGGGAATGGTAACCGACAAAGGAAGGCACTGAGACCGATCTCCCACAAGCTGCTGCTCCGCGCTTGCTCTTCCCTTTGCCCCAATCGTATGTGTCAATTTCACACTCTTGTTGAGGATTGAGTAGACGCAGGGGAAAATGGGGCGAAGCTGCGGGGCAAAATGCGGCCGCGCAGCACACAGTGTGAAATTGACACATACGATCGGGGCAAAGGGAAGAGCGAGCGCGGAGCAGCAGCTTGTGGGAAATTGGTCTGAGTGTCTGCACAGT